AATTCCGATAGTCTCTGCTATGTGGAGCATGCGGTACCCCGATGCTTTTGGCAATTGATTTAATACCTGATCGACGATGGAGACGGATTCTTCAATGCTGGCTAGCCTTGTGGCCAGTTTGCACCAGATGGTCTAATATCGAACTGTTGATGATTTTTTGCTACACCATAGTGGGAGATGTTCCCGAGTGAGCACGAAAACTCAAGTTCTTTCAGCAACGGCGAATATAACTCGCTTCACCATAAGCGCAGTTGAATTGATAGATACAGTTAGAAGTGGTTAGTCTAGGCAACTTCATCTTTCAGTCGACAAATCATCATCGGTGGTGTAGAGAATAAGACGTGTAGTTCTTCAGCATTAAAAGTTCTTTGACCTGATTTTCTTAATTTCTTCATAATTATTTCGCTTGATATATCCCCTTTGAACTGCAGTTGTATATATATATAAAGTCTTCTCGTTTATGGATAGTGAGTAGTCCTTTTCCGCTTTCTTTCTCATGTGTTTCTTGATAAATTTTTTAGGATAGCTATTTTCAGTCAAAGTATTATATACAATGTTTCACGTGTGGATGATGTCACCTCTTGATGATTGTCTTTACGAACAGTCCATCAGTGCAGTAAACTGATGAAGCGCTAGATTGCGTTGATGACCACCAATTCTGATGTATTCAGCAGTTTATTTTTATCCGGTCACCTACTGACCAAGGAATTTTATTGATCAGTTCGCTCCAGGCGTTCCTGTTAACTGATGGAAACCAATTGCTCAGCCTTAGGTTTACATGTTGGCTTCTCCTACAGAAGCTTGGACGATGTTTGATTATTTAACTTGGATTTATTTGTTGGATGGTGACTAGCGACGGGATCCTCTGTGAGGCACATTTCATCCCATCTGGGACTCGTCATCCGGCTGGATGTATCTTCATCCCTCCTCTCCAGTGAGAGGTGTCTCTCGTGTCCCATATAGTCCAATGGATAAGGCTTTGATGTTTTAAAATATGGGTACTGGGTTCAAGCGTCATTAGGAACACCATCACTCACTGGATAGGGGTGTAGATACACCCAGCTGAGGGGTTACTCAGCATCCTGGATTCCAATGCTAGTCCCCATGAAGCAACTTACTTCAATTTAAATCAATTTCTTCTAAAATATGCTTTAAACAAAATCTATTTCAAGACCATTTTTTTGCTGTTATCCTATGAACTACTTATCAGATAGTTAAATTTTAATTTCCTTTTGATTTGATATGACTATGGGATAAATGAAATTTTGATTAACGCTTCCCATACAACACCAACAACAACACCAACAACAACTACCACTGTTGACATGTGGTAGATTTTTCAACAAGTACATATTGTAATGTCAGTGGAACATCTGTCTAAATTACTTCACCTCTCGGTATGTTATTTTAACACCTGATATTTAAGAATGAAGGATTTGGTAGGGCGAGAAGTTTTATTGATATAAGTATAGAAAATTGGGCACTGTGGTGGTAGAGTATAACTCCATTATAGATAAGATTTTATTTTGATAAATCACACAGTGTTCGTTGTACAATACAATAATATTAACTGATAACCACCTTTTCGAGCACAATCTATCACTGCACATAGTCATATATGATAATGTACATTCAGAAATGATAATATGAGTATTATTGATCAATTACAATCAGATGGGAAGTAAGACGAGTGTTTCTGTAGTCAAAATAAGTAAGTAACTTGTTAGAATTATTGAATTGGGAACATCATCACTCACTGAGAAATGCAGGTACCTCCAGCCGACGAGTCCCAAATAGGACGAAATGCGCATCCTGAATTCCACTGCTAGCCACCATCCACCAATCGTATACTAACTTGTTAGAATGTAATGATGTACGTGAATCGAAATGAAATAGAATTTTAAGATTATATATTATCCTCCTCTGATTTGACTGACTGACTGGTGGTAATAATAGCTTCCATGCATATCTCTGGTATTTGAGTTGAGTCATTTCTGTTGCATGTGTTGTGTCGGGTGAAGACTAGATGAACCAGTCAGGGTTCACTAATCAATCTCTCTCTCTCTCCAACTACATAGATTACTTCTTAGAATCTTAACCCTCTCATTCCCACCTTACTGTGTAAATGTGTGTCAACGGATAAATTGCAATGTTTTACTGAACTTTTTGCTAAATTACTAATCTTCAATAGTGTGGTCAACTAGTCCAACCTTAGCTAAATTCTTGTGTTCTGATAATCTCACTACTCCCGATCTCCTAGTTTAACCTATGTAGTTGACTTAACTCACAGTCATTGCAAGGTATTTTGTAAATTATATTGTTTTGTCTTATTGGCTCAATCGACAGGGTCCTTTAGCCTACAGATCTTTTCTCTGAGTCAGTTTGTACGTTTGAATGCTACTACCCTAATTCCTGCCTTATTAAGAATCCTACGCAGCGAGGGTCTCAGATGTCCTCTCCTTATATGGTAGGTAGAACTACTGTAGATGCCTGATATTCTCTCCTATTTATATTATCATTATTAGTTTCGCCATTATTTTTATTTTGCTTTTGAACTTTTCTAATCTTTCTAATGAATATCATAGGATAGTTAAGTTATTTAACAGCAACGCCTTTTCTTTCTGTTTTATTTCATCTTTCAGGTCTTTTTTTTATGGAGTTCTATTGCTTGGTTTGTTAGACACTTAGCTAAGACAGTTTTCACAGATAGATAACAACAGATGAGATGAATTAAAGTCTAAATATCTATTAGCAGATTGAGTTGGCCTTTTATAAACACTAGTATGAAGTTTACCTTCTTCTATTTGTTTTATTATACAATTTAACAGTATAGCTAATTCTTCTTGTTCATTTTCTGATTCAAATGTGAATATTATTCCCTTCACTAGTGAGTTTACAACACTCTTATCATTATTTCTGAATGTATATTATCCTATATTGATTTCATCCAAATGACTAATCAGCGAACACTTACCTTCATGGTTTTATAAAGGAGAAAGAAGATCCTCCCGCCACAGCTCTATCCTAGAACACTTGATCAAATCCGGACACCAAGCAAACCCACAAAACAACTTCTCAGTTATCTACACAATACGTGGGAATCTTGCCAAAAGAGTACGAATTAAACTTCTTCAAACTGCAGAAGCAATGGCAATTCACATATTGAATCCTGAACTATGCATACAAAAGAAGTTTGTTCAGTCACTAAATCTACAATGGTCCTGATCTATCTTAACACCAAATACGTAATTTTGTCTTACCTCTTTCTTCTTTGTTTGTCTATTTCTTAATTGCATTATTTTCTACCCCCACCCTCTATTGAATCTCTACGCTCATGACGACTATTGCTAACTCGATTTTCGTTTATTTTTAAGTGAATTCTACTCAGCTTATTAACTTGACTCTCATTCATTTTTTCATTGAACCCTATCAATTAGATTACGTCATCCAACCTACTTTTGTAACTTTATTTTAGTTTCTAACCGATTAACGCCTTCAAAATTACGTAATTTGTTTGTCAAAAACTAACAATTGCATTAACACATCTTTGGAAATATTCCTCTTGTTGCCAAGACAAATTACTATAAATTCGCGATTTGTACAGCTTGAGAATGATATCGCCGAAAAGAGTAACTTTTTGCTGAACACCTTTTCTTTTCTATGACTGAATGGGAATATTCAAGCTACAAATGACTAATCATCAGTTTCTACTCATGTATATAAATGAAGCAAGAGAGTTGTGTGAGTGAGTACCTTGTTATTTATTATGAGTAGCAATATTTTGTTATCGAAACGCGGTCATCCGTTAATATTACCGTACAACAAACACTATGTGATTTATCATAATAAAATTTTATCATTAACTTTAGTTTATTTAACAAACAGAGGGTATTCATCCTGTTCAATTTATTTAGATATATATATATATATATGTTTGGGTTTCATCCTCGACCAGGAATCTTCGGCTGTGGACACGTAAGCCTGTTTGAGTATTAATCACGTAAAATGTCTATAGAAAAACTATAGTTTGCTAGTCATCTATAATTTCGTTTTTTTTTTTAATTAGCACTAACGATTGAAGTATCTTTCGGCCTACCAACCTACTAACTGCTTTTGTGAAAATGGTAACAATCTAAGATTAACTTCAAGTGTCTGTTATACTGTCTCCTCTACTGACGTGTAAACACGAATGAGCAAGCACATCGCTGGCAAACCAAAACATGGCTTCATCAGTCAGTGAAATCCACAACAGTTAGCTTAAGCCAGTCACATAGTAAGGTGTAGATTTCCTAGTTGGGGTCCTCGGGTCAGTGAACATCAATGGCTAAGGACAATTGGTGGCTGATACGGCTGAAAATCGTTCGAAGTGGCACCGATGCATCCACTTCTTGTGACTTATTATATCTAATAAAACTATATGGTTCTTCGTTATTACTATTCCTTTTGTCTTATATGCCTTTCTACTGTGTCTATTGTGCATTTCTTCTACTTTCTTCTCCTCTAACTTTGTGTGCTACAAGTGGTGGAGTGTGGCAACTTGAACTTCTGCACATCTGTGAAAAAAGTTATATGCTGAAAACAGAGAGGTGAAACTTGAGATAGCTGTATACTGCAATTAACTGTAGTTTCAGTGTGTATAGGTTATAAAGGTGGAAATCCGTTGGATCCATGTGTCGAAAATTGAAACTGTTCATTAGTAAATTCACTGAATGATACGAATTCAAATATCATAGGAAGAATTCTTACTGACAACGTTTTGGTTACTAAGAGGAGAGCCTATAGATGAAATAAAATCCTCATTAAGTAATCACATTTAGCCTATGTAGGCTTTGCAGAAGATGTTTGAGAAGTACTTATCAGTAAATGGATTTGTAAGCAGTATACAATTAACTATGTGTACTATTTGTGCAATGAAATAGAATTACACAAAGGATACTAAGGTATACGTGGAAAAGGGGTAGGCAGAACAACAACGAAATATTCTATAAATATGAACTCACGTATTACACAAGGTGCACCAATTCCATTTCGCCAGCCAGGACAGCATACTGGTTGACCTTTATAGTAGTCGCATACATGACTGTTAAAAGAAAACAAATACAATAAAAGATGAACTGTAATAAGTATTACTTTTAAATGGCATATTTAACTGACAACTAAATAAGTGTTTATCATATTCAAAACGTAGCTTTTGTTTCTACATGACTTTACAGTTAAATATGGTCTCTTTAGTTTTCTACGGAACTGACGAGGACATCAAAGCCAGAATCGGAAAAGCAAGACAAGCTTTCATTACTCTCAAATCTGTGTGGAGGTCAACAGCACTCAGCATCAAAAATAAGATCCGGATTTTCAACTCCAATGGGAAATCAGTGCTACTATACGGATCAGAGACTTGGCGAGTCATAAAGAGCATCTGAAACAAACTTCAAACCTTCATTAACAGCTGTCTCCGCTCAATACTCAAGATCAGATGGCCGGTCAGAAAAGATCAGCAACAGGGACCTCTGGCAATGAGCGAACCAACCAGGAACCGATTGGGAAACAAATAGGCAGGAAGAAATGGAGATGGATTGGCCATACTCTGAGGAAACCATCAAGTGACATCACTAGACAAGCCATCGCTCGAGTGGAACCCGAAAGGGAGGCGGCGAGTTGGTCGTCAGTGCAAGCGTGACTTGGAGGAGGTCATGCGAGGAGGAGATGAAAGCATGTGGACAGACCTGGAGCAGGGTGAAAAAGTTGTCAGAAAACCGAAGGCGATGGAGGTGCGCAGCTGAAGCCCTATGTTCCTCTAGGAACTAAAGGATACAATAATAATAATAATAGTTTTCTACGTCTCTTAATTACTGATTAATAGCAGTTAAATTAGAACTGAGTATCAGTTAGTCGTAAACGAATCCTGTTTATATTTCTTACTTCCCGCATCCGTCGCTTCTGAGGTCCCTAAAGTCTGGAAGAAGAACCACACATTTTGAAAAAGATCTTCATGCAAAACGGATATACATGAAGATTTATTGACAAGAAAATCAGGCCGAAAATTCAAAGACAAGAGATGTCATCCTTGTAAAAAAACGAAAGTTTACATGAACCTGTACTTCATAGATGACCTATTCAATCATTTCCTCAAGAGAAAACTTTTGGCTCCCTTTAGAAGAATATTATTGGCAGAAACGTGGTGGGTAGTGTTCTCCAGATGGTGACTAGTCTGCAGAAGTCCAAAGGACAAAACCTCGCATCTGACCGATTCCGTGTACATACATTAGTTTACCTGTTGTTGTACAATCAGGCACATTGGTCGTTCGAAGCGTGTCATGTCCAAACGGGTTCAGGAACAGTATCATGCATAACCACAAAAGGTAATATTGGCTATATAAGAAGTGTGATAATCGAACATCTTCTCAACGCTGGTCATTCCGTCTCAACTAAAACCTACTCCAAAGTGATCTATAAAGTGAAGAATACATTTTTAAACACAATACGCTTTCATCTCCTTTGGATTGCTGAAGACTTAGTCATTCAGTTAGAAAAACTGAAGCTATGCATAAAAAAGAAAATTATTAAACCAATTCTATTGTCATGGTGACACACTTGTTGACTTCTGCTGACTTGAATTTTGCGTGCTTGTTTTCTTAACTCATTATAACCCGTGTGTTTTTTGAGAACTCGTAAATAATTACCTGTTTTATGAAAAACTATTAAACAATGGGCGGATCACTTCAAAGGACTCTTGAACCGACCACCACTTGCAACCCGTCCAGAATTACAAACAACAGCACGTACACAACTGCAAGTGGACACCAATCCTCCATCGAAAGCTGAAGTCTTGAATGCGATCTGAAAGCTGGAAAAGCAGCTGGACCAGATGGAATACCCCTGAAGCACTAAAAGCGGACCCAGAGACGACAGCAGACATGTTGACTGCATTATTGCAAAAGGTCTGGAAGGAGGGAAAGGTGCCTACTGACTGGAGGAAAGGTTACCTCGTGAAACTAACAAAGGAGGGCGACTTACGCCTCACTCTGCAAGAACTGGCGAGGAATCATGCTCCTATCGACGCCAAATAAAATCCTGAGTCGCATCATCCTGGAGAGAATAAAGGACGCACTGGATACAGAATTCCGACCAGAACAAGCTGGCTGCATTCAGGAAAGGCAAATCATTTACTGACCAAATTGCAACTCTACGCATCATCATCACAGAACAAAGCATGGAATGGCAATCAAACCTCTACCTCAACTTTATAGACTTTGAGAAGGCCTTCGACAGCGTTGACCGTGAAGTAATTTGGAAATTACTCGAGTACTACGGCGTACCCCAAATATTCATCAACCTTATTCAGCTGTACGACAACGGCACATGTCAAGTGGTCCACAACGGAAAACTCAGCGAGGCGTTTGGAGTAAACACACGAGTCAGACAAGGGTGCGTATTATCACCAATGATATTCCTAACTGTGGTGGATTAACTGGATTATGCGCCAGACAGTGAGAAAAGAAAAGAGAAATAAGGATATCCTGGACCGACCGAAGTGAAGAACCTAGAAGACCTGGATTTCGCACGTGGATGATTTATGTTTGATATCACACAAAATCGAAGACTTACAAGTGAAAACCGACAAACTGGTCGAAGAAGCAGCCGGCGAAGACAGGACTCCAGGTGAACATAGACAAGACGGAGGTGATGAAAATAACCAAAAAACGACTGCAATATCCAGCGTCAATCACCATCGACGGTAGGGATTTGAAAGAGGTTATTTCATTCACTTATCTAGAAAGCAGTGTCTCAACTAGAGGAGGAGCGGACGAGGATGTCGAATCGAGTGAGAATCGGGAAGGCGAGAAACACATTCATCAGCCTGAAATCAATCTGGAAATCTTCGTCACTCAGCATCAACAACAAAATTCGGATTTTCAATACAAACGAAAAGTCAGTTCTTCTATACGGATCAGAGACTTGGTGGGTGGGTCACAAAAAATAATTCCAACAGCCTGTTGCAGACCTTTATCAATAACTTTCTTTGCTGGCTCTATACTGAGGATCAGATGGCCTGGCCGGGCTGGAAAGAATCATGAACAAGAAACTATGGGAACAAAGAAAACTAGAACCAATCACCAACCAACAAATATGTAGGAGAAAGTGGAGATGGATTGGACACTCGCGGCTGAGCAGGCCGCTGGGTGACATCGCGCGCGCGTCAGGCCATTGCTCGAGTGAAACCTGAAAGGGAAGTGGCGAGTTGAACGTCAGTGCAAGGGTGACACAGAGGAGATCGTGCGAAGAGGAGTTGAAAGAGTATGGACTAAGATAGATGCAGGGGAAAAGTACAGCAAAAGACAGAAGCAAGTGGAGATGTGCAGTTGAAGCCCTATGCTCCACTAGGAACCCAAGGGAACAATAATAATAATTATGAAAAATTGTATGTATATGCTATTGTACAGATAAAAAGGAAGATGAATTCTCTGAAAAGAGCTTCTTCCCTAAAATGCTAATACTGATTTTACATTTATTATATGGCTATGTCATTTGAGTTTGGTGGTTCGGTTGGGAACATTTCACTGTTCTCCTAGAAAACCTCTTCAGAGCATTCCTACATAAATCAACATCCAAATATACATATTTTGAAACAATTAACATTAACTAAGGTATGTTCATTAGCTGTGTACTGAAAACTAACTAATACGGATTATTAACTCCTTCACGGTTCTAGGGACAAATTTGTACACTGGTCAAATCAGTGGAACAGAAATTTTGATTAGTGTCAATTGACTACAGATAGACAGACAATAAAAGAACTTGAGCCTGGTTCATACGATGTTAAACATTCCTTCAAAACTATATGACACGCGTTTGTGTTTCTGGAAGCTTATAGATATCTGTTTGTTTGCATGCGTACTTTGTTATATGGTATCAACAAGCAACTAACTTAACATGACACTGAAAAGAAGATGGTTGACCAGAGGGGTAATATGCAACAAGAAATTCTGGCAACGAACCAACTGACCAGCTGTTGAGCAACAAATATGAAAAGGGGAATGGAGATGGATTGCATACCACTGAGTAAAATCACATTCCAGGCGGTTGAGTGAAACCCGAGTTGGTAAGGATTTAGTAGGAGTCTGTTAGTGACATGGAACAAACCGATGTAGGAAGGGAATTTGAACTTGTTGGCAATCTTTGAGTTAGATTAAAAGATTTTGGAGTATGGATTGAGTTGGATATGTGCATAAATTCTTATGAAATGTTTTGTGGGTAGTATGAACAGACGAAGAAAAATCTGGAGATTTGGTAGTGTAATCTAACGGAAACAAATACTTCAACGATGGAGTCATTCTGAAGATTTTATTCACTACATTCGTGACAGTAACACTTTTCTGCTTCTTATGCGTTTTCATTACAAAGATTAGCATTTTGGACATAGATTCTACAGATTTGGTCACTTTCTCATGAACATAATGTCTAAAACAGTGACTTCTACTCACCTTTTGTTTACAGTTCTTGCGGTTCTGGGAACTTAAAATCTCTCCTTAACCTGTTCTTTCACACTCTATGCAATCGAATTTCCGAGCGTATTAGTTCTTTTACTTGACATAACTAAACGTAAATTACCGCTAAAAGGAGAACTTTAGGAGATATTATCTCTCACATCCTAGTCATCAGTGTCGTTTCAACTGTAGGCAGTTGGCATAAATGATGATGTCACACCCAGTCATGATCAGAATAGCAAGACAAGAGCTTAATACACCCAACAAAAGCAGTAAGATCTGACTTTTCAACACTAATGTGCAGCCAGTGCTTCTATGTAGTTTAGAAACTTGTTGCGTCAGCTAAAACACTTCAGGAACAGCTGCCTACCACCCGTAATGAAGATTAGATGAACGACCACAAATAATGACCAATAAGTAACTATGATGGAGGATCAGATATGGACGTGTTACCTAACAAATATACAGCAGGAAGTGAAGATGGATTGAAATTATGCCGTTGGATACGTGAGCATCCAAGAATGACATGATAATAGTCTTGTGAAAGGGAAATGAAGGTCTAAGGGCAACCATGATACTAACTGGAAGAGACGGC